ACACACACACACACACACACACCTGAGTTTAAACGCAACAAAAAACATTTTAACAAAGTGTAGTAAATGAAATACCATTTGACAAACTCATTGATGAGATGATACATGATTTCACATTTTGATTCAGTTGAGCCTGTTGATGCACGTCCAATTCCAGACCGAGGACTGCCTACAAGACCTGGTGAGTCCTTTCTCCTTCACCACCTTTCTCGGTACATAGCTTCTCGTTTTTGCATGTTATAGCCACGGACATATGGAATAGCATGTTCATGCTAATGCCATCTGAAGATCTGAGGCTCATAGCCCATAAAGTGATTTGAATGTGATCACAGCTAAAATTGACTATGGAGGGCCAGAAACAAATATTTGTCTCTAATATTACTATAGTTCTTAGATATGATGTACATCCATGTAAAATGTGAACAGCCAGAACACAAAATGACCAATTGAATATAACATAAAAGAGGCACATCGATATCAAGAGATGTCTGTAATATTCTTGCGTTTGCCCTTATCAGTCACCAAAGGTTTAAATTCCCTATCTGCCGTTGTGTGTGTTCACTTTGTTTATTAGACACAACACAAAAACAAATATAACCTTGTATATAGGACAACGAGAAGCTAATGCACCACTACCTGACTGTTGCATGTTCTTTCAACCCACTTTGTCTGTGCTTGCTCTGGTCCTGTCAGTGTCTGCCCTGAAGCCAGAGGAGATGCCAAAAGTGCGGATGGATACTGAAGAGAGGCAAAATGCTGGCTATGAAGTGTACCATCAGAAACTGGTATAAAAACCATTTGATGTCAACACAACAGACCCTGTCATCATATTTGTTCTGGTGCTGCAGTGCCCTGTGCTTTGTGCACACTAACACTTGTTTTGCAATGGTAGGTGTTTTTCGCTGAGGATGTGGGGTCCAATAAAGGTGCCATTATTGGACTTATGGTTGGAGGGGTTGTCATAGCAACTGTCATTGTCATTACCTTGGTGATGCTAAGGAAGAAACAGTATACGTCTATTCATCACGGTGTAATCGAGGTAAAGAAAAGAGCTGGATGAACAACAGAAATCACTGTTTCCCTTTCTCTTCTTTTGTTTTACTGACCTGTTTGTTTTCGGTGTTTGCAGGTGGATGCAGCAGTGACACCAGAGGAGCGTCATCTGGCGAAGATGCAGCAGAACGGCTACGAAAACCCCACCTACAAATTCTTTGAGCAGATGCAGAATTAAATTACCGTTCATCAACATTTTCTTCAGGTGTATCCCGACCACTCACTCTCACCACTCGAAGGGTCTGTTCCACTCAGGTCTTTTGCCCTCAGCTCTGACAAAATTATATTTCTCACCTGAAGGGGGGGTGGAAGGAGGCGTGAAGACAAGACGCAGGCTGGTTTTTATGTTGTTTTAAAGTGGGGGTACAGTTTATGTCTCAGTGAGGGGCTGGGCTAAAGGAAACTGACCTGGAACAAATCTTCTTCATTCCTGATCCCTTGGTTGTACAGAGGAACACACAGCTTACATTTACTTTTACATTTACTTACGAGGGTACCCAGTCTCAACTACCCGATTCAGCCAATGAGAACAAAAACTTCAGTGTTTGTATTGAACAGCCAACACCCCGTTGACTATTTACATTAAGTCAGTGCAGAAATATGTAAACCCAGACAGATTAACTCCAAGTGTCTCTTTCGTCAGTCCAGCTGTTTTTTTTTCCTTTGTTTCCTCAGACTGTCCGACACGTCCCTGTTCCCCTGCTCTCAGATAACAGCTATGCTGTTCGATGACATAACGGCTCTTAAGCTGGCAATGGGAGGAGGGGCTCTCAGAGCGCCTCTCCACACGATTAAAGCCCAAGTGTGTCAGGTTTTTCAAAAAAGGATTTAAAAATTGTAGAAAATGTCTGAAAAAATATATTCAAAATATGTAAAACTTAAAAAAAACCATTGTTTTGTTTTCTGATTTTTTTAATGTGTAATATATTAAGACAGAGATTAGCTGTAAGTATATGTAGTGCATGGCAATATTGATGACAGATACAGTTAACTGTATGTCGAGGTCCTCTTCCTAGATATTTTAGCAGGATTGTACATTTGTAGTGTCTTCTTTGTGATCTTGTGATATGAAGAAGAAAAAGAGTATTCAGAATCTGGTCTGCTTCGTGCTCACAGACTTGCTTTAACACAATCTTGGCTCTTTATGCTCATCTCCATGCTTCACTGTTGTGTTAGCTGCATGGGCAAAATGCTCTATACTGTATGTAATATATGTGATAGTATCCGAAAGGAAGACGATCGTGTTACTGTTTGCGTTCTATGCACTCTTTGTCAGTTTGGAAGTCTGATTATTATTACCAAATATTGATGCTGTTAAGTCCCTGATGCCAGTTCACACTGTTGCTGCACATTGGGTTTTTCTTAGAATGAGGTTCAAGGTTTCTCTGATAGTGTGTCATTCCAGATTTTATTTCATTCCAATGTCTCCAATGTATTTGGAAGATGGAGATCCAGTTTGCATTAATGCAGTTTCATTATCAAGCTCGGTCTTTTCCCCTTATTCCCACGTTTATAATGTTTAGCCTGTCTTTATGGCTGTGTCAGCAATATTGTACAGTGCAGCACTTTGGAGTCAGCGCAATTATCTAAAGAACGGATGGGACTCGTTAGGGCTACAAAAATCTGAGGAATTCTCTCGATGGTCCAATCTCCTCTCCATTTCCTAACCAAATCACACGTGCACATTATATTTTTCTACATTTCCTGTGTATACATGTACAGTGTCATCTGCACATCTGTTGTAAGGTCTCTTAATAATCCTGAGAGTCAGACACACCATTTACAACAGGATGATGACCACATCTCAAATCAGCACCTTTCCCTCTCCCCTAAATTAAGTTATTCTCACCTCCACCTGCAGTAAACATGAATGTGACCTGCATATTGTGCATTTAAACCACAGGAATACAACACATATCACCTCTGCACACTATTTTAACATATCTACAGAAACACTAACTGAAGCTCTTAATCAGGTGAATGTTTGAAATGTGTATTGATGCTCACTCTGGGTGTCTTTGATGGATCGTGGTGAAAAGAAGATGCTTTTGTTTCTCATTGATTCAGTGCCCTTCCTCTGTGTGTAGTTAAATGAACCGTTTGCTTAGAGTAAGAAGAAGCTTTCTACACTCACTATACCATGAATAAAATTTTGAATGTACATAAAACTTCCTGGTACACTGTCATGACTCAATGATTTCAAAGTAATGCATTGAAAAGGCTGAAATGATTGAATCCCAGTCATTAAGAAAAAATGCTTGCTGCTTTATTCCCCCTAGTGGACAAAAAGGGTCCAACAGTTTAGGGAACAACCACAGAATAAAATACAAAACGGGTCCTCTATAAATGGAAAATATGAAAATACACTTGCCCTTATGGCTATCAAAAAACATTAAGTACCAGTATATACAGAGGGAGCGATTCTTAGCGACAGACATGGAACACATTACACAAAGCTGGTTCTTCAGTCACATGTTCAAACATTCAGTCACATGCACAACAGCATCATTCAATAACCACACAAATATTCTGCACCTCATCCTGACCTGCACACGCATCTCTTGGTTAGAATTAAAGCAAAGAAACAAACATTTTACCTGCTCCAGTCTAATTGGACTTAAACTGTAGAGACATTACCAAAGTTGTTAATCCACACTGATCAGGGATCAGCTTTGCATTTCTGTGCTTAGTGAACACAGCTGTGTCAAAAAAGGATTGGATTTGATTTCCCGTCAGCGGAGGTGCTAGAGGGCGCTGTAACACGGCCTCCCTCAACTGTCCTTGTCTAGTGTCGTGGTTGCCAAGGTCACTGTAGTGATGGGCTGACCCATGCCATGCATCTGCATGCGAGCCAGTTTCTTTTGTTCACACTCAGTCACCAGGCTGTTGAGCTCAGCAGCGCTGTAGCCAATCAGAGTCCTCAGGTCGCACACAAACTTGTAGACGAAGCGCTTGCCCTGCACTTTGCTGATCATGTCCCCGTCATAGTAATACCTGAGTGAAATTTTAAATGTGACAGTCAGAGTAAAATAACACAATGTCAGCATCATCAAGTTGTCATGGTCAGGTCATGGTTGAGAAATGTTTCTTAAACAAGCCACCTACACGCACATACAGAGAGTTAAAGGACATAAATATCAGTTAACTACGGTCGCCAAGATGTCTCACACAAGCACTGTATTAGGGACTTAAGGTTTAGATGTCTCAACCTCTCCTGCAGGGATTTTAAGTCCACTGACTGTATGGAAGAGCAACACAAAGGCACAGATCCCCCTTAAAAAGATAAGACAAAAGACAAACCTGAGAGCTCGGCTGAGTTTCTCGTAGTTCATCGTTGGCTTATTCTTGCGTTGGCCCCATTTCTGAGCCACAAGTTCAGGCTGGTTGAGTTTGAACTCGCCCTCCTCTCCCACCCAGGAGATGCAATCTCTTGCATCCTTGTCTGTCAACAGCTCCAGCAAGAACTGCCACAGCTGGATCTGACCGTTGTTACCTGGTAGCAGAAAAACACAAAATTCAAGATAAATTAAATACACATAAAAAATAGATGCATTTTCCATAAAAAACACTGCACTGGAGAATTTGGCAAAGTGTTGCAGCAAACAAATATTTTGAAAACTAATTTGCTAATTATTTAGTCAATTAATCAAATGTTTGGTCTTTACTATGATCAACAGTTGTGAATGGGCTGTGGTGTTTATTTCAGACACATTTTGGACAAAATGACTGTAAAATAAATTAAAATTTCATAGGCATTTAATTTTCAACCTGAACCTGCTTTTATGCTTTTTAAGCTGACTGTGCCTCTGAAGAAAAATGTCACCTGTTTAAATACAAATATCACACAGAGTGAGCTGTGTGTAATACCTGTGCGGTTGCCAGGTGAGCTGCGTTCCTCTCCTCCTGAGATACGTGGAGTTCTGGGACCACGATTCTGCTTCAGTACCTTTATGGCAGTGGGTGTGCTCACCTGAGCCGGGATGATCTGCACAGCTGGATACAGATGCAAAAGTTAGAAATGAAAGTCAGTAAATTTTCTTTAGAGCTGCAGCTAAATACTATTTTCATTATCAATGTATTCTGCCAACAAGTTTCATTTCATTAAACAGTCATAAATGCTCATCACAGTTTTCAGGGGCTCATTTCGTCTGGCATCAATGCAAATCAAAACTACGCAATTCTTCATCATGTCTGTTAAAAAAATAGTGGCTGATTATCTTTTGATAAAAAAATCAGGTCTGGTTTTGAGTCGGTAATAAAACAAATACAAGATTGTCCTTGAAATATTATAGTTTCTTTTATCACCTTGCTTCCCTGTGGGTGAGAAAAAGAGACTGAGTCTGATTTTGATCAGCCAAGATGAATCCAGATCATGCGTGAGACTCTCTAAAAGGACATTTTCAAATAATAAACTCATACATTTCAGCTGATTTTTCACAGGAACACTTACGTTGATCAATTGTGACTGTGGCGTCTCCTCCAGACTGATCCTGACTTGCCAACACATCTGAAATAGAAACAAGGGATAAGTTCATGAGATAAAATTGGCCTTTAAATTAGCTGTTTACTTCTTAACTGTCAAAGAGTAGAACCACACCATCTGACTTACATTTGCGTAGGAGCTCCAGGTGACTCCACAGTATCTCTCCATTAGGCACTTTCTGAAGGAACTCCTCTTGGCTGAAGCCGCAGAGGTCTCTACCTGGGATGTGAATGCTGCCGATTTCCATCTCGTCAATGTTGAATTCCTTCATCACCCAAACAGCCCAGTGGATCACCTGGTCAGCTGACCAGAGCATGGGGTCTGCAGGGAGAGAGAGAAACCTCTTTTTTACAAACATCCATCTCTATTTCTCACTACATTTTTTCATCACAGTAAAGGTCTTTATAAAAACGTTCCTCACCATATGGTATGCCCAGACGGACCTGCTCTTTGCGGTAGCCTTCAAGTGCTGCCGCCCAGCGTGTCACCTGTTCTGAGGTCTCATCAGAGAGGCCGGACCTGTCCACAGCAATCAGCTGCCCCTCCTCGACCAGAGTACTCTCCTCCCCTGCTGCATCTGGATCGATCACCACTTCTACTGTTTCTACTGGCTTCACAATTTCCAAAATGTTCAGCTTCTCCTCACCTGAGGAAAGACGAAACCACAAACAATTAAGCAGCAAGACATCACTGTATAGCTGCTGATCTCTGACATGCTCCATAAGAATTGTGTCAGTGTGGATAAGATGCGTACCTGCTTTGGTTATAATCTGCAGACTGAGCTGCACTGTTCCATCTGTCTTTACTCCCTGATCAAAGAGGCTGTGATCAGGGTGAAGCTAAAAAAGAGGACACAACAGAAGTCAAGAGAGAGACGACTCAGCATACTCTGCCGTGAAAGTGACAACAACCAGGCAACAGAAACACGTGTATCAGATCATGAGGGGGTCTTGATAGGCTCTGAAATGCACATTTTGGACAGAAGCAGCATACATCACATTACCTGAATATCCTGCAGGCAGATCTCATATGCATCCAGTGGTATTTGGATGCGTGGCTCCAGAAGCTTTTTCAAATTTCCGATGGGCTCATTGATGTCAATGTCTTGCTGAATCAAATCAGATGCAGTGATCGTTTGCTCCTCAACACTACAGAAAAAAAGAAAGAAGGACTGTTAACGTGCAGTAACTGTATGTGCAAGATTCTGCACCTCAAATAACCACTGGCTTACCCTTCCTCCAGGCACGCCTGTTTCTCCCGCTCATCGATCTCGATCTCTATCATCTCTTCTGGTTCACTTTTAGACATTCTGTTTTATGCAGAAAGACGAGCTGTTGGAAAGTAATAAAAGAGATGGTTGACTGCCACTTATCATGACAAACACAAACAATTACACTGTTAATCACACCATAAACAGTGTCTTCAAATGAAGGAAAGAAAATATTGTGTGACAGAATCAGAGAATGTTATTAATTATACTGATTAAATCAATCACAAATTTATGGACTAACTGATTAATCAAGTAATTGTATCGCTCTGAATTTGAGTGTTTAGGTTGTTGTAACTAGTGTTTTACAGATCGGAGGTTGATCAATTACGTGTTATATCTCATCACTGTGTTTACATAATGCATTAGAAATATTGAACTTTAGTTGTATTGCTATTCATATTGTGAAATATAAAAATAGAATATATGGCATATAGAAATTAGTGTTGTTTTTATTCTGTAGGGGAATTACTATATATATATATATATATATATATATAGCTGTGTTTTACCTCATTCTATACCATTGAGAAAATATGGGAATTGGGAATATAAACCTCAGTTCCAGTGGTCATCATGGAAACCTACTTCATTACACTATCTTTAAACGAAAACAACTTTGCATGTCTCTTGTTTATAGGCTTATTCGTTGTTCTACTATATTCAGTACTTTACTCTGTATGCTAGTACTATATTGTGTATCATTGCCAAGTTTATTACATTTTATTTTCAGCTTCTTTAATTCTTTGTATCCGTTGTATTGCTACTTGGCTCTATGTGCAATGCCCTTGACATACTGCTGTAACACAATGATTTCCCAATTTGGGATCAATAAAGTGCATCTGTCTATTTGGAAGTCTAGGCAGCAAGAACCACTGAAAAACACCCAAAAAGTTTATTTAATCCATTTCAAAGGATAATTTAATATAGAGTCAACACAGATTGTGGGTTGTACACTGAAGTGTGTGACAGTGAAGTGTGATGTTGTGAATACTCAACACACTGCAGTATTAGTACTAGTATTGACAGTAATAGTATAAAGGCCTCTGAGCCTCGACTCCTCATTGGCTGTGAGGGACAGTTCACTGAGTGCTGCGGCTGCTAACGTTAGCCAACTCGAGGGCGAGGCTCTGGCGTCTAAAGGCCAGACGGTAGGCCATTAGTGAACAAAAACAATCACCACACATAATTGTACATCGCACACACATGTTGGAAAAACACGTTCAGCTGATATTTACACACCGGGCGACACGTGTCACCGCAGTGAAGCTGTTCCGCGGTGAACCAAGTTAGCTTAGATTTAGCGAGCAAATGCTCCACGGGGGCGAGGCAGCCCCGATACACAAGCCCCGCTCCCGACGTGCTAAACAGCGGTTAAACTATCCC